TGCTTCGCTGAGTCTCCCTCCTGATATTCCATATTTAACTTTGGATATTCGCTCTGTTTTGTATACACCCACTTAAGTCAAATTAACCACATGAACACTACACTTTGCCATTAATTATGGACGCTCTGGTCTCACCAGCTCGTCCGTCTGATTCTCTCCGTCTCCGTCATTTTTGGTATTCTCTTCGACAACCGTTTCTTTCTGTAGATATCACCGACTTAATAATACATGTTTCTGCATCCTCGTTCTTTACTTTTGTCACTACGACGGAAGACAAAAAGCACAACGGAAATGGGTGAGACAAGACGCGGCCTGGAAGGCAGCTCACGTCATGTCTGTCACGGAGTGAATGCTTATTGTGCACCTCCACATATTAGGTTCATGGCATGCCGGAAGATCGCCCTCCAATACAGCCGACCAACGGCTCATCTCCACGTGCATTTGAACCGATCAGCACGCTAGCCTCACAAACCAAAGACCATGTGCATCAAAGTCAGTCGTCGGCACGTCTTCAGCTGGTTAATTTGACGTTGTCCTAAACAGGGACCGATATTCTAGAAGATTTAGGCTTTAGGTCAGCTCGGCATACAGCAGATCCATATTAATCGCCAAGAAGGACACAGTTGTGTCTCCGAGCGACTATAATCCTTCGACTAAGACGCGGTTGGAGAGGTGAATTAGGAGAGGAGAGCACAAGCACCGCTGATGCAGTACTCTCAAGCGACGTCTGTCTTCTAGGTGCGAGTAATATGTCTCTGCAGCATACGGTAGTCCTCTTGTCTGAGGCCCTATGCTCTAATGGCGTGGCCATCTGACTGGCCTCGAGCCAATTCTACGCCCCCTCCTCCTTCAGTAACTGATGGGCTGCAATCGCATATGCATTCGGGACCGAGGTCATATTCAAGTCAACCGACAGTTGAGGGAATAGGCTACAGAGATTTCAAGTTGTGGTTAACGCGCCTTCGCCAAGATACGATATCTGACAGTGGCGCCACATTCCGAAGTGCGTTTTCGTTTCGAAAAGATTAATTAAGTAGATTTGTAAAACTAGTCAGTCTGCAACATAATTCTATAATATTTCAGTGAACTCGGGATTCCGGCTTTCAAAAGAACTTCCTTCCGGCTGCATGCGAAAACTAAACTCTGTAAAAAAATGACTACTTGAGCAGCATGACTTTTTCTCATTGATTTTGATGCCCCTAAATGTCCAATTATATTTCATGGAAAGCATGTATAAAAATATTAATTCTACTCTCATTTGGTAGTAAATTACGTCTTCTTCCAATCTTATACTCGAAGGAAGGGTACAATTCGGTTTTCGAAAACCTTTCCAATTCCCGAATAATTTTGAATCCGCTCTACCGTTACACTTGGATTCAGGGTTTGCAAACTAGAGGCCGTATATTTTTCGCGTACGGGAAACCACGCATTTTTCTACGGTAATAAAGGGGAACCATATGGGGTTCATAAAATTTAGCAGTGGATTCGATCCATGTTGTTAACTTGACAAGCGGCATTGGCAAAAACAGACACATGACGTTTTATGAATGACCATTTCACAGTATTAAGAAATCTCAGAATTAGAAACTTTTTAAGACCGAATTACACCCCTCCTTCAAGTATAAAATTAGAAAAAGACGTAATTTTCTACCGAATGAGCAAAAGCATGAATTTTTGTGCATGTTTTCCATGAACTATAATTGGGCCTTTAGGGGCATCGAAAATCAAGGAGAAATAGCCATGCTACTTAAGTAGTCATTTTTTTACGCAGTGTAGTTTTTGCATGCAGCGGGAAGGAAGTTCGTTCGAAAGCCGACATCCTGACGTAACTGAAATACTGTAGAATTATGTTGCAGGCTGACTAGTCTTACAACCCCACTTAATTAATCTTTTCGAAAGGAAAACGTATTTCGGAATTTCAGTGGACATTTCATGAGTTAGTCCACTTGCTGTAAGTGTCCCCTGGAACAAACAATTCAGCCCATGTAAATCAGCGAGGCTTTCTTCGCTCGACGACTATCCTTTATGCACTGACAAAGCACGACTTATTAGATCAACTGCATTTTCCGCCGCGGCATTTTAATCACCCCACAATGTTAGGTCATTCATCCAGACACGTCTGGTTGCTCTCTGAGGTTCGTCATAAAACGCCCTCTTCATAACATAAAGGTCGAAATTCTGGGCGTACACCGCAGAAACTGTGACGCTAACTGCACGGTGAACCCACGAAAGGAGCAATGTCTACTAGCACCAGCTTTCAACACGCTGATGAGGCGTCGATAAGATCGTTCGCAGCGATCGCAACATCCTGCCGACTAGTTGTTAGTAACGTCGTTATACCGATGGGGGTATTGGTAGACGCCCGAAACCTTGATGCATGTATGATGCTCGTTGAAGAGAGGGTTGACTTCTGAATTGCACTGTGCCAACGGTTGCAGGAATAGGCAGTGGTGGCTACTACAATATTCCGCTCGTCCAAAATGAGACGCCTAGTTCTCCCGCAGATTTACGACCCAGCCCACTAGCGCAAGTCCCAACATGCGGGCTGCCGCGAATGCAGGATGGACCGAGATCGGTGATTGAGGAGAGTTTCAGGTGGGAAGTTCTGGTATAAGTCGCTACCCGGCGCTAGTGCCTCGGAAACTGAGGCGCTATAAGGTGGACGTCGCTGCGCTCTGCGAGACGCGGTTCACCGAACAAAGCCCATTAAAGGAGGTGGGTGCTGGCTACATCTTCTCTTGGGGCGGCCGCCCCAGGGCAGAGCGACGGGACGCGGGCGTCAGCTTTGTCATCCGGAACAACATCGTGCGACGACTACCCTGTCTACCACAGGACATCAACCATCGCCTGATGCGCCTCCGTCTGCCTCTGGGGAGACAAGTTCGCCACCATCGCCAACGTCTACGCTCTCCGGACGGCCAGCCCTGACGCCGCAAGTAACAAATTCTACGAGGACCTCCCGGCATCTGTACCAAAGGCGGATGAGCTCATTGTCCTTGGTGACTTTAACGCCCGCGTCGGCACAGACCATGCTGCCTGAAGAGACGTGTAGGCTCTCCACAGTCTTAACGCCTCCAAAGACAATGGCCTGCTTTCCTACGAACCTGCGCAGAACACCTGCTCATCTTTGCCAAAACCGTCATCTGCCTTCGGATGAGAGAGAAGGCCACGTGGATGCACCCTCGGTCGCGACACTGGCACCTGCTGGACTATGTCCTCGTCCGGAGGCGAAACCAGCGGATGTGCTGGGGACACAGTCGATCCCGGGTGCCGGCGGGTTGACCCACCATCGCCTCTACATCTCCAAGCTGCGGATTCGCCTACAGTCTCGCAGGAAACCTCAAGGTAAGCGACCTCCCCAGGTAAGTTGAATGGTGCTTTGTTGTTTTTGCCTGCTCACAATCTCCATTTCAGCAATGAACTAGCCTAATGGCTAGCCAACCTTTCAGCCGTCGCCGCTGCCACCGCCGACGAGAACGCCTCCGTGGATAACCCATGGTGTCAGCTGCGGGACACAGTCCAGTCGACGACCCTGGCTGTCCTCGGCAGCGCACGTCGCCAACACCGGGACCGGTTTGATGACAACGACGCCGCCATCAGTAACCTGCTCGCCGAGAAGAACAGACTGCACAAAGCATGCGTCAATCGCCCCACCGACGAAAACAAAGTAACATTCTATCGTAGTCGCCGCCTTGTGCAGCAACGGCTCGCAATGCCGAGGAGATTCAAGGTTACGCGGATCTAACCGTCTAATCAATCCTCTGGAACAAGGTCTCCTGCTGGAAAGCCAGTACGGTTTCTGCCGTCACCACGAAACCACCGGCATGATCTTCGCCGTCCGTCAACTGCAGGAGAAGTGTCAGGAGATGCGGACCCACCTCTTCTCTACCTTCATAGATCTGACAGAAGCCTTCGACACGATGAATCGCAAGGGACTATGGAAAATCATGCAGAAATTCGGCTGTCCCGAACGATTCACTCAGCTGGTGCGTCAGCTTCATGATGGCATGACGGTGCTCGTCACGGACAATGGGAACGTATCAGAGGCATTCGCAGTGACCAACAGTCTAGCAGGACTGCTTCCTCGCGTCCACCCTCTTCAGTCCCATGTTCTCTGACATGACATGACATGACATGATGGAGTTGGCACCTGAGTACAAGGCCTCAATTGTGAGACGTTCTGTCATTGAGGTGCCCCGGCCTATGACGGTCGCTCCTTGAAAGTCAAAACTGTGGCCAGTTTATCCGATGTGAGTCGCAAGCTGTGAGTTTGGGTCTAGTTTCCGAGTTACTAGTCTGTGCTCATGTAAGCGGGTCCGTAGTTTCCGTCCGATTTCCTCAACGTAATGTCAGTCGCCATCGTTATAACGTATTTGACAGACAACTGCTGAGGTTTCAGTGGGTGGCAGTATGTCTTTGGTCTGCATCAAACGGCGACGAATTGTTGCCCGTGGTCAATGGACAGAACGTCTCACACTAGAGACTTTGTACTCAGGTGCCAACTCCATCAACGGGCATCTACACCTTCTTGCGGCCTCCAAAGTCCTACGTCACTACTTATGCCATGACCAGGACGAGGCGGTCACACGGAGCTTAATAATACCGGGCAAACACGGTCCCTCGACTTATCCATCCAAAAAGGGCACAGACGCAACTAACCCCAATTGTGGTGACGACACACAACACAGGAGGCCACCAACATTCACAAGCGACGGTCAGAGGGCCAAGGCAGCGAAAGAAGGAAAAACTCGGCCAGTCCAAGACAAACTAATTCGACTGGCTATTCGAATTTCTGGTCGATTTCTGCACTAAACGCTTCGATAATGGAGATAATGCTCTCAGGGACGTCAGCAATACAATACACTTGACCCGGTGAGCACTCCACATTTCTCAGATTATCGACCCGGATCTCATACGTTTGCTGACCTGAGCCTAAAATACACTCGCCGCATTTGCCTCCACTGTCCACACTGCCCCTGCACATTTACTCACCGCATTGGTCTATTCGATCACATGCGTATCCACGACAGTGGAACCGACCGCAGTCTCGACACCCCTAGTACCTCCTTCATATCCACCATGCCTATCTCAACCCACATCCTGCCGCCCAGCACACCCACCACACCTAGCACATCATTCACACCCACCATGCCTACCTCAACCCACACCCCATTGCCCAGGCGTCCACCATCAGCAGCTCCACCGCTGCCACCGTCTCCGAAACCGACACTCACACCGTCAACTTGTGCGCACTGTCCCGTACACTCAGCTCACACATCGGCTTGGTCAGTCACTTGCGAATCCACCGCACAGAAACTGGCGAACCAGTACCTGGAGCACCAACATACACCAGACGCATACGCCTCAACGGCCCTCACTGCACCCGCACATTCGCCCACCGCATTGGCCTATTAGACCACATGAGCATTCACGAAAACTTGCCGTAGACAACCGCCGGCTAAACGACACCACTACACCTTCCCCCACCATAAGCATCTAACTGCCACCTACCACGGAAGTGGAAAGGGCGCGTCTCGGCTCCGTCTGCCATATGTGTTATCCGAGTCTGAGACTATGACGGCGCGTCAAGCGCCGTGGCTTGTGAGACTGCTGACTGACGTCCCAACTCAGTCCACACAGTCTGCCCAGTTGTGTGTTTGTGTGGTGTGGAAGACTGGTGGAGCACTCCCACGCAAGCGAGATGTACGCTACCAACCCCCCTTGTGAAATCCTGATACTCGTGTTTGGGGGGCCATGTCGTGCATGTGGCACGCGCAGACAAGGTCAGCCATCGCGCCCACTTCCCGCACCTGTCAACCGACCGTCTCGGACAGCAGCCGAGGCCTGGGAATGGGGAGAGTGAGGTCGATGCTCAGCCTTTGAAGCTATCACGGTACGCTCAAAGCCGAGGCTTGAAAGGTTGCCAACTGACGGTATAAATTGGACCTCGCAGTCGTCCCAATGTTGTGTGTTTGTGGAGCGACCGACTGGTGGCCTAAGAGGTAGGCTGCAAAGGCTCTTTCGTAATGTGGCCTTTATGGCACTCCCACTCCGTGGGATCCGAGCAGGGTGTGATGTCACACCTAGGTGCAGCCCCGGCACCGCCAGCCCCTTTTTTCGTTGGTTAAAATCCTAGTCATTTATTATGTGGACCAAAGGGTATGGAGCGGAGCGTCAAGGTGCGAGTCCGACCGTGCCATCTACCTGCGCCCTCCATCGTCTCCGATCTTCTTGACTCTGTCTGGACACTGGGTCCAGTGGAGGAGGAGAGGGTGCGGAAGACGCTGCGCAAGTCACCATGCCTGCTAAATCTTGCTATGGAGCACACGGTGGACGTCATCGGCAACGACGGTCGAAATATCACCTAGCAGCTTGGCCGGCATATGAACCTCGCATTCCACTCAGCGTGGGACTTGCCCGAGTGAATACGGCACGTCCACCGACACAGCACATAATCCAATGCAGCCATCGTTTTCATTGGGAAGCCTCTAAATTTGCTACCACGTCACCTCACTAAATGCACTAACGTAAATTTTGGGGCCTGCAACCACGTCGATCACCCCCAGCTAACACCACTAACTGTCGTTAACCCGGACCAATTGCCCGATAACAGCAGCCATAAACTCTCTGAGGGATGCACAATGGAATTAGGACCGCCTGTATGAATACTTGTACTTGATACGGCTGTGATCGTGCCTGATCTAGCCGGCCTCGATGATGTCCCGAATTGTACCTCTCCACGCGTAACGATCCGCAGCAGCAGATCTAGACAGCTCAACCCATTCCCTTCGCCAACGACGGAGACCGAATACCGAAGGTCCAAGAACCACCTCCATGTCTTGACGGACAGTGTCGAGCCAGGTTTTGAACTGACCCCCTCTTCGACGCCTCCAATGGGGCAACGGTGCCGGATCGAGGGCAGTAACACTGAGCTCCTGAGTTGGACGACGAAGAACATGCCCGAACCACCTCAGTCGTCTTTCTTGGATGGCCTGAGTTATCCTTGCGATGTTGTCGCAGCCAGCGCGGACTGTCTCATTTGAGACGAAGTCGGTTAACTTCACTCGAAGGATAATTCTCAAGCAGTTGTGGTCAAATACCTCCAGTTTTCGCTCATCCTCCACGCGCAAAGCCCAGCATTCGCAACCGTAGAGAAGGACGGACCGGACAGATGCACGGTACACGCGAAGCTTAGTGGCGATGGAGAGGTCACGTCGGTTCCACAGGCAGTTCCGAAGGCTTGAAAAAACCCAGCGGGCAGCATCGATTCGGGAGACAATGTCGTCCTTACTCTGTTCAGTAGGCAGCAGCCGCGCCCCGAGGTATTTAAAACTGTCCACTTCTTCAAGTTGACAGCCATCAATCCCCAGGGGTGCCTCCTCCTGGTCAGGGATGCAGCTTGAGAATACTTTGGTCTTCCCATCGTTTATGGACAAACCGACTGATTTAGCGACCTCGTTCACCCGTGACACCATAGACTGCAGATCACCAAAACTTGAAGCAAGTAAGGCGATGTCATCGGTATAGTCGAGATCAGTCAATGTCCGGGTGCAAATTCAACGCCGTCACTGTCGCGTAGGGCCCTCCCGAGGATCCAGTCAATAGCGTAGTTGAACAGTATGGGCGACAGGATACAACCGTGTCGGACGCCAGACCGAATACCGAACGGTTGGGAAAGATTGTTACGGACCAGGACTCTCGCAGTAGTGGAACGATAGTAGGCCTTGATCATGGCGATGATTTTTGCCGGTACACCATCTAGCCTAGCTGCTGGCTACCCGGCGCGTCCACAGGTGGCGGATAGTGAGACGACCTTCAGTGAAGGTTAACTGCGAAATAAGCAGACCCAGGTCTGACGAATAAGCAGTCGCGGACCAGCAGCGACATTGCTACCAGGGTGCGGTGGGCTGAAGTCTGGCACGCTGAAAGCCTTATAAAATGCCGCAAAGCCCAATAACGGCATTGTGACATAGCGACCGTAAACCGCCAATAAATAAGTTTACTTGCCACCACTGCCTTGTGGTTAGGTTTTTAAGCCAAAGCGCTAGAGGAGACAACCTCGAACAAACAATCCGAGCGGCTGTTGGGGACCCGCCCGTATTCGAAATTCCCAAGAAACCTCATGAAACATGAAACAGCCTGTATGAATGTAATCACGTGATGAGTGTAATCCCTAGCAAGTATCATAGTACCTTACACTAAAATGCATCTTATGGCTGCAAAGGAAGGAAAACACACCGACTCGTTAAGCTAAGACTAGTCGCCCGGCTATAATGCTGTCGTGGAATTTGTCTATTTCAGCTCATCCCAAGAATGGGCTGAGTCGCATTCACTCACGGTCCAATGACGAGTGCCGTATTGCGATACATGTAAATTCACGAAGTGCGCCCGCTGGATACTGTTAAACTTTAATTGTACCCACAGAGGAAACGAACAGAACAGCATGTATCATGTTGATAAATATTCTGCCAAATAGCTGCCTATGTCGGATTAAACGTGCGGAAACAAGTGAGATAATAAAATCTAAGTGAAATCCTGTACAGTATACGCGTCACCGCGCGATATGTATGCTTTAGTTAGCATTTACGTACACAAATGCGTGGCTGGAGCCGATTAGAAAGGGACGGATGTTAATCACTCAAAGGTCCGGAAGGTCCGACTGGGTACTGCTGCTTGCTGGACTCTCAGCATCCATGGCGAAGTCTCTCTCTTCAGTTGCAGTTCTATTGTCTTGATTCTCCAAGCTCAACGACGAAGTGAGTGAGTCCGTCAGGTGGGAAACAACGTATGAGAAGAGAAATTCACGAAGTCCCTTCCCCATTTTAGACTGTCCGCAGATCGCGTTTCGTCTCCTTCTTAACTTTACTTTCAGAATACCTGGAGTTTTGGATATGCTGTCTGCGTCCAAGGTTGCAGTTTCTCGGAGAGAAACAGGAGCCTTGATTAGGCAATTTGAGCTCGAAGTATCACAGATGTTGCTACATGCGGCTTCTGGAGGAGGACTTGGAACAGGTGACGTGGGTGGGCCCGGAGGCATTAGAGACTGGGTAAATAGAAAATTTTGTCTTTTACCGGGGACACAATCGACTTGAGGACCGAATTCAGCACTATTTGCGGACGGAGGCCGAGGAGGCTCGGGGGAGTAAGGATGGTGGACTTTGTTGGATAATGGAGTGAGATCAGCAGACGGGGAGGCTACCGGTGGTGGCACTAGATCTTTGGCTTTGTCCGCGAGGAATGGGGCCGATCGTCCAGATTTATCGAATACGTACTCACATGTTCGTTGAATTGTCCAGTGGTCCTCATGAATGGCATGAAACTTTTGTTGCGAACCTTAAATGGGATCAGAATAAGCGGAAACGGACTCTTCAGCCTGGTCCGGCTAGACAACTTAGTTGCAGAACTCCTATCAATATGAACTTGGTTACAGTTATAGCGCTTGAATAGGATCATTATAGAGATAAACTACTTAAAATGATTGTTCCGGTGTCAAATACGCACGGTGTATCCCGCGTATAAAAGCGACCGTCTATACCGCTGGCCGCTTTAATATGTACTAATACAGGAAGCCTGTGTAGGCAGTTGCTGAGCATAAAACTACTGGCTGGTGGACCCTTATGTCGAGAGACCAACACTTACAGAGCTTTTCAGCCTAAAAGATAAACGTGAAAATGTTTCTTGGACCAGCTGCAAGACGCAAACATTCGCTTCAATTTACGTCAACGATGCTAGATATTTCTGCCAGAATTGCAGTCCAGTAGGTCATTTATATATCCGGGCAGTGGTAAGATTCTTGACTTTGGTGCGTGCGCAGCGAGGAAAGTGACAGTTAAAGGGCGCTCAGTATTGTCGAAATGGCAGATTTGATTTCAGGAACGGCGAACATCATTGTTTACTAAATAAGAAGCGACGGCTTGTCGCCATAAAAATTCTGACTAAAGATGCAAGACTCCACTTCTGCAGAAACAAACAAGAATAATGAACACGAAATAAGGGCGCCCTATCTTTTCACATAAATTTCGGAGCTGATAAACGTGTAATATCTGCCGCCCCTCCAAATTGAGGAACTGATGAATTGTCCTTTGAGGCGTAAGAAGGACGCCGCAAGGATGTGCTGGTCGCCGGTGGTTTAGTAAGCAGTATAATCCATACTGTGGGATGACGTGTGCGCAAAGCGACCGTGCTGCATTATTAGAAATACCTGTTAACGAAATGCAAGATAGCTATCTTGCATTGTCAACTAAATTCCCCAAAAGTCGGTCCCAGGGACTTATACTTTATAAGCCAAACATGGTGCCGAAGAGTGTCCTGGAACTCAAAACGCCATGAAAGGCGCACATGAAGGACAAAGAGAAGCATGTTCTAGGACCCAAATAACTTTGGCACTAACGATCTACCTCTGTCGTCTTCGAGGGTTTATGGCATGTCTGGTCTAATAAAATGGTAGAGGAAAGAAAAACAAAAGAGTTACCCTTGTGGATTCTCTTACGCAAACGTAAATGGTACATCTAATAGCCCTGTGGGTGCCCTCATCTGTTGGCTACAGACACAGACCTGAGGGTAACAACCGCAAGACCATGCGAGACGTTCCTACAACATAAAAACGAAGTTGTGCGACATTTCACCTTATTCAGCTTTGATTGAAAAGTCAGTTGGCAAACATATGCTTTCGTTAATGTAACATCACACCAATAGATTTGCATAGAGAACGAACTTCTGGTCTAATGACAGGGTTTATGTATGTCAGGGGGAATGGCTAGGCAAACTCGTCGCTTTCACAGCCTGCGTGACGGTGTCAGCGTGCCGGGGACGTTGGAGCTGGGGGAGCGGAGAAGTGGAGGGGTTCGGGCTAGAGCGTAGAACTTGAAGTATGTCTCTATATCAAACGCTCGGAGTGTGTGCGACTGGGGTCGCCAAGGAAGACAGACGGTCTGTACCAAAGTCGTCTGACAACAGAGAGCTGGATATGCTAACCAAATAGCCACTGCCTCCGCTTTTGCTGCATTTTTTTACATAGGTGTTTGGATTAGTGTGCTGGTGCCCAGCAGAAAACTTGAAAAGCTTCCTAAGCGTTGACTTGGCGGGCAGTATTGATTAGATGGGCGAGAATCTAACTTCAAACAGACCGATTTTTCCTTCATTCAACCAGACGGGCGTGTGTTCTCGCACCCCCTTTCTATACGCCTCGACGTGCGTCAGGTTATCCCGCTCTACAGGAACAGGTGAAAGAGTTTATGGAAACTTTATTGTTTGCAGCAAATATAGGGAATTGCTTACTTAGCAGTGACAAATGCGGCCTGAAATTCGGCTGGCGCATAATTGAGCCGCGTTTATACAAATGCCCATAGTTTCATATCAAAAGTTGACGAACTGAAATTTTGCCTTGCGGAACTGTCTCCTATGTTTTAGCAGTAACCAAAACCTGGTTGACCGGATGTATGACTGATAGCGAAATAGCCTTAGCTGGTACCTTATTTATCGGGGGAAAGTGAGCATCGTCGGGGTGGTTGCGTAGTTGTGCAGCACGGGAACTATTTGGTTAACCATCAAGCCTACTGGTTTCTCGTGTCTCCATGGCCTAACTGTCTACCAACCATCCAGAACAGGCCAAATCTTCGACACCCATCTTATGGATCAGTTGGAGAGATTTCCCGGCCGACCTAACATCATGATCATGGGCAACTTCAACGCACAAGGAATAAAGTGGAATACCCTTCAAGCGTCAGGTCCAAAATCGACATTCGGTCTATGTAGCACCTTGATAAATTCCTCGCTAAGATCAAAGTAGATAACTACCACCAACTGCTGTTCATTACGAAGATAAGTGATTATATGAAGAAATGCTAAGTGGCAAGTTCCGCTGGATTGTTCGTGTAAAAGTCCATGCTGGCTACAGCTCAGATGTCGATTAGCTAGACAGAAGTCAAGAATTTCATTGAAAATAATCCTTTCAAGAATCTTTGATAGACACGTTGTTTTGTGCACGCCCCGATACTTATTCACATCTGACCGAGATCCAGACTTGAAGACGGCAATGATAATTGGCGTCTTCCATGTTTCAAGAACAAATCCTTTTGAAATATAAACCGGGAATAATGGATTGATCAGTATGTGGAGGTCGGATGAGTGTATAATAATCGGGTTTGGAATCCCGTCCGTTCCTGAGCAGTGTGGGTTTTGCAAGCGAATTATGTGTTTCTTAATAAGATCTGAGGAGACATCGATTGTACTCAGTGTCTTATCTGAAAGTGAACGAAAGAAAGGGCCTGGTTCGGACTCAGTATTAAGGCGTTTTGCAAAGAAAGGACCAAATAAATCCGACTTGTCAGTGTCATTCATGAAGAAGACTTTGTTATCGTTTAGCAGGGGTGGAATTTCGTAACCACGCTTAGAGAAGGATCGATGACGGAATATGCTGGCGACCGATATGGCAGGGTTTGGGTCATTAAGAGCAAGTGATTCTCTTTGCCAGTCGTGCGTTTGCACACTTTTGAGGCCATTTCGAAAAGCCCTGTGATTCTTGGACGAAGGGATAAAAACTAGTGGATTGATCACGCAGCTGCTGTATTAACTTATTAGTGTCTTACGATAAAAATGAGGAAAAGGCAAATCCAAAGAATTAGACTTTAGGTATCCACGAAACACAACCTCTAAGACGTCTTTGGAAAAAGTGGGCATGCTGTTACAAAAAACGGTTGCATCACTACTGGAGAGAGATCCATACCATTTCAGTGATCCAATACAGTTATTTATTACGTCTTTAGTCACGCAATCGTCATTTCGGTAGTTCTAAACTGTGCTGGTCTTATTTGAAGAGGCAAGCGGTAAGCAACAGTGAATTAATACGTGGTCACTATCAAAGAGGTCCTTTTTGAAATCGATAAAACGAGTGCAATGTATATTGTATATGTATATTGAAGGATTACAGGCAGAGCCCTTGATGACCCTTTTTATGTACAGTGCTTTCGCAGATTTATATTCAAAAATAAAATTAAATTGCAGACATTTAAAATGTGATTTGGTCACAGTTCAATCGTAATCATAATGTAGTGCATGGGGTCTCTGTAAATTAGTGCGGAAGATTGTATATGACAGATTTTACAAAACTGGCTGTGCATAGTCATGCTGTACAAGCCGATTTCTGTCGAAAACTAGACGAGCAAGTTTTCTTTTAAACACACAAACTGTGTCAGCCGTCACCATCTCGCTTGGAAGCGAGTTCCACGGTCTGACAACCCGCTGGCTGAATGAAAATTTTCTTCGGTCTAAACGCGTGTACTCATTCCCGACTTTGTATGCATGGCCGCGTAGTTGGTTTGTACGGGCGAACTCAAAGAAGTCCTCTGCTCTTAATGAGCAACCCTGGCCGCGAACAATCCGGAAGGTCCAGAGTAGACTGCAGTTTATTTGTCTATAAGAGAGAGGGAACAGGCCAAGCAAATTCAGCCTCTCCTGATAAGACAAATGTTTTAGACCGTCGACCATCTTTGTCGCTCTGCGTTGCACCTGTTCGAGTAAGTTGATATCCTTCCTCATCCATGGTGAGGCTGCTGGCATTCCATACTCTAGATGAGGTCTTACAAAGACACCAAAGAGTCTTTCGAAAAGTTCGGGAGGAAATATTTTAAATGCACGTCTGATCCAGTGTAGGGTACTAGTTGCCTTCTGGACCATCTTTCTGCAGTGTTCTGATGGCGATAGATTTGTGGTCGTCCATACACCCAGATCTCTGTGTCTTTCCACAGTTTCTAACCTCGTCCCGTCAATATAGTACTGGTGTTTGGGAGAGGCATTGCGGCCGGTGTTCAGGTGCAAAACCACGCATTTGGACACGTTAAACTTCAAAAGCCATCTGTTCGACAAAGCACACAGTTTGTTGATTTTCGACTGCGACTTCTCTGCGTCATCATCGCATTTGACTTCACTCCATCCGCGAACATGCGAGCCTCGCAATTCACTTCGCTGATGCAGTCATTAACATAAATCAGGAAGAGTACTGGGCCTAAGACAGAACCCTGTGGGACACCACTTTCCACCTTTACCCATTCCGACGTAGAATTACTAACGACGACTCTTTGTAGTCTGGAGGACAGAAAACTCCTGATCCACTTAAACATTCTCCCTTGAATCCCTACATCCCAGATCTTTTGTAAAAGAAGCCTGTGTGGGACACTGTCAAAGGCCTTCTTGAAGTCAAAAAATATGACATCTACTGGAAAACCCTTATCGGTAGCTCGTGTCCATTTTTCGTGCGAGTAAAGAACACTCGTTAGGCAGGAGCGCCCTGGACGAAAGCCGTGTTGGGCATCGCACAATATTTTGTTCTGTTCCAGGTATTTCATCAAGTGTCTCTTGATAATGCGTTCCATTATTTTACACGCGATGCAAGTAAGACTGACAGGACGATAATTTCCGCAGTCAAGTCTTGAGCCTCCTTTATGGATCGGAGTAATCAGTGCGCGCTTCCATTCTTCCGGGAGCTCGCCGTCTTCAAATGACTTTTGAAATATTGCGGATAAGGGTTTGCACAGTTCATTAGCAAGTTCACGAAGTGCTAGGGCGGGAATTCTATCTGGGTCAGGCGATTTGGCAGGTTTCAGCCGGAGTAACTCGACCCTAACTATGGTAGATGAAAAGAGTGGTTCCTCGGTTAAGGAGGGTAGGGAGGGGATAGGATGGGGAAGAGCACTGGAAGGAGACGTTGGTTGGCGAATGGATGGATGGGCAAATATAGCACTAGGTTCTCGAGTGAAGACGGACTGAAAGAAGTAGGAAAGGAGGGACGCTTTAACCTGCTCATCAATCTCCACTTTTCCATCTGCAGACCTGAGGGCAGGGATTAGCTCCTGAGTCCTTTTATTACTTCGTATATAACCATATAGAATTTTCGGATGCTCCAACGAATTTCGGAGGATGTTTAGTTCAAACTTCTTTCGCAGCTTTGAGGCCTCACTTTTACAGAAGTTTCGTTGCCGCTTATATTCCTGTAAGTGTTCGTTGGAGCCAGTTAGTCTGTAACGCCTCCACAGACGATTCCTTTTTCTGAAAGAGGCCTTAAAGTCCGGGTTTATCCATTTTGGGCGGTTTGTGATTTTCTTTCTTCTGAGAGGACAATTGGAATAAACAATCTCTTTCAGTAAGGAACTGAAAGTATTCCAGTTATCGTTTGCTCGACCATGCAGTTCAGTCTCTCATGATATAGCTGCCGCTTCCCTCCTCCAAATGTTTCTCTCCCACCTCTCGAGTTGGACGGGTTTGGAAAACAGTGAGTACTCGAAGTAGAGCGTGATGTGATCGTTTGACCCTAATGGGTGTCGGTCCTGCAGGTCTAACAAATTTTCCTCCTCTCGGGTAAAAATAAGATCAAGGCAGTTCGACTGCTGCCCTTCTTTGACCCGTGTTCCAAAAGGTAACATTCCGGCAGAGAAGTTTGTCCGTTGCCCATGGTAGTAGTTTGTGATTAAAGCTGTCTTGCGGCCCTTATGCAGTCCACGTTAGCCAATCAATG